TGATGAATAAAAAAGTAAAATGATAAATAGATTCAAATGTATTTACGTGTGTAATGAATTCTCTATATGTTTTATAAATCATCACGTCTCAATCATGAATGTCAAAATAGAATAGAGTATACAAAGTCCTATTTTTACTGTATATAATTGTCGTAGAGAGTAAAATTCATATGTGTATTTATGTGTTAATTGTAAATATTTAAAGAAAATGAATGATGCTATTCTTGAATATCAGTAGCTTCCGACTGAACAGGACAACAGAAAAGAATTTTGATGTGTTAGACTGGATATAGAGCATTTTAAAATTGCATAGACTCCTGATTACTTTCGTTGCTATATGTAAATTGAAGAAATAAAAGATGTAATTTAAAACAAATGTCATGGAAATATGTTTGAGACATCTTGATGATTAGAACAAAAGTGAATAGAAAGAATTTTTTCTAAAGATTCATTTACTTTATCAGCTACTCATACAAATTGATGTGGAGTACGTTGATATCAATAGAGAATTCTTTCAGTTGATTGTTTTAAATAAATTGTCTTATGAAGTATTTGCTGTCAAAATGAATTTATAAATGTCATCAGCTAAGAGAGATACTACAATTATATCAAATACTTCAACATTAACTTAAGATAAAAAGCTAAAATTTTGAAAAAAAAATATTAATCTTTGAATTTATTCTCAGTTATTATAGAATGCTGATATTGTAAAAGAAAAAACAAAAATATTTCTATATAATGTTAATCTGTATATATTGCAAAAATAGTTGCAGTAGCCATCATATCATATCCTAATTTTGTTTGTATTGTGACGGATCCATCTGTTTCATGATTCCATAGACATCGCGATACAATAGCCATTGATTGACGTTTTTGTTGATCAGGTGCTACTTGTACAACAGTAGCAAGTACAACAATTTTATATCGAACATTATTTGCTACATCAGGTTTAATAACTTGACGTAATTGATGTGATAATTCTCGAACAAGATCTATAGCTAATTTTGGATCATAACGAAGTAAATTCGATATACGACTACATCGACGAATAAGTTCTAATTGAAGAAATTTTTGTGCCCGTATAAAATCAAATTTTCGTTGAGGACTAAGTGCAAATGTTGGTGCACCGGAACTTTGTATACTTAATCTATAGGCTGTATCCGAAGTTATACTTTTTTGTTGATGCCAAGTATTATGCCAGAACGGAACTGTTAAACCTGTTGGTATTTGTAATTCATGAGCTTGTTTTGTTAGATTTACAGCACGTTGAAGCATCGCACGAGTTGTTATACGTTTTGGCTCCATTTCTCTACTTACTGTTGATATACTTTATCGATATTTATTTTACAAAATGTCTTTGCAAAAAAACAATTAGAAACCATAGGTTTACTTCTATTTAAATTAGACATGCACGCAGTTTAACGGAAGCTAAAACACGTATAGTTTTATATCTGTCAATCATTCCTTTTTTTTTCTTTTCATTCATTTAGAATTTGACAGTTTAAATGAGCTTCATTTCTTCTTTTACTATGTTTATGTTGAATATTTTTAAAAATAGAAAGAAAATAAATGAGAAATATATTATACAATCAAGTTAAACGAAACAAACGAATAACTACACAACTCAAAAAGAAAATGAAAGTGACTGTCGCGCACTGTAATTGAAACAATGCAAACATACAATGAAGAAAAGAGAATAAGATAAAAAAAAGAAACCACATGAAAACTTACCAGAACAAAAATAAGTTTACCTCATAATGAACAAACATAAAATACCACGGCAACCGACAGCTTCGTCGCATTTTAAAGAAGAAAAAAATTCCTGTCAAACAATTATACCATGTCGACGACGAGAAATTTCTCCAATTGAATCAACATTAACACATATGTCGATAACACTAAGTACAACACCAATTGATTGGAAATTACGTTATGAAACTTTACAAAATCAACATCAACTTGAACTTGAACGTGTTCGTCATCATTATGAACATCAACTTAAAGAAAAAGTAACAGGTAACTTGAATATATATAATAAATCAAAATAACAATAAAATATGACTTTTTACTTTCTAGAGATAAGAACACAATTAAAACATGAATATGAACAACAACTGTCTGAATTTCAAGCTCGTTTATTTGAACAACAACGTCAACAAATACATAATTTAAGTTCAAGTAGTCTTGGTCTCGATCAAAGTATAGGTGATCAAGTTCGAGAACAAATACGTTTAGCACAAGAAAATGATCGTAAAGATGAGGAACTTCGACAATGTTTATTAAAACAATCAACTAATAGTGATGAACTCAAACAAATTATCAATAAATTACATAATGAAGGTAAAGATATAGTTTAAATTTTAATTGAGAAAGTTTGAAGTTAATATCTCTCGATAATTAAAATATCTTTTGTTTTTTTTTAGGTATACATGTCTTAACCTTAAGTGAACGTCTTGCATTACAATTAAATGGTATAAATATCAATACAAAAGAAGTTTCACTTGATTCATTACAAAAACTAGATGAAGAAAATTCTTTTCTCCGTTCTTTTATTGCTAATATGAATGCTAATGAAACTGCTGATAAATTAATAAAATCTCTAGCAGATGTATTTCGTTGCGAACAAGAACGTCGTATAATACAAAGTCGTCAACATGCAAATTCTGATAAACTTGAACAAGATATTCATGCTATGTGTAATTATCAACGTGATGCATTAGCAAAATTTTTTCCTCAAGACGGTCATTTATTAAACAATGAATTTAATAAATCCAAACGACTACAAAATCAATCAATATCAAATAAATTTTATTTCAAATATATACGTAGTGAAAATTATCGAAAAGCCTTAATATATCAAAAACGATATCTACTTGTTTTATTAACTGGTTATGCAGATACAGAAACATATGCATTAAATGAAATTAGACGTTTAACTGGAGATATGAAACAAAATTCTTATCCTTATCAATTTCAATATGATAAAATGAAATTAATTCCTAAACAACCATATCATAAACATTTATATAATTATCGTTTTCGTTTTCGATATTATGTTAGAGTTGTTATTGCAATTATTCGAATGCGTTGTTTTGCTAAAAAATGGACTCAAAAATTAGCTTCTGGGAAATAGATTATTCGTTTTTTTTTTGTCTTTTTTGTATCTATTTTATTGTTTTTATAAACATCTTATATTAGTTGCAAAAAGGGAATCAAGATAGAATATAGATTCTTAATTATTATATATAATTCTGACGGATACAATTATTTGGTCATTTGATCGAATGAAAACTATTATAAGTTAGTTTAACCATGAACTAAATGCCATATGTTCTACTAGAAAATGATACCCGTTTATCTAATAATAGAGGGAATAGCTGTCTTTCTTTTTTTTCTCGCACGTCGAAGGACTAAGAACTACCTTGAAAGAAATGCCATTATGGTTCTTTTTTTTTATCACTGTGCTTCCCTACGGTTCTCACCATACATAGATGGTGATAGGCGTTCGTGATTATTGTACGATCAATACATAAAAGAAAAAATATATATTTTTTCTTTCATTTTCACGTTTGATTGAGATATAAAAACCAAAATAGATAAGAATTAAACTATTATTCGTTCCGCTTGTCGACATTTATTGATTTACTGTATTAGTAACAACTACTATTTAGACCGCTTTACATTCTCAACTATACGTCTTATTTCATCTTTGTTCTAATACTATGGCTCGTATTCTTTTTCATCTACTTGCTTTACAATTAGTGTTACTTGTAACCGTCTCTGGTTTATTTACTAGTAGCGGAGTTAAACATGCAACTAAATATGAACTTCAACAAAAAGTTCTTACACTTGGTTCATCATATACAGTCAAAGATGATCATGGTAAATCAGTTTATAAAGTAAGATTTATTTATTTCAAATCATTACAATATTATTTAATATATATATATGTATTTAGATAGGATTTAAAACAATAGGTCTTGGTAAACATCTTCAATTAACTGATGTTGGCGGTCAAAATGAATATTATTCTAGTATGAATACGATAATAAACAATCTTTTTTTTATTTTTTTGTTCTAGTTAAACATGTTCTTAATCCACTTGGTTTAGCTAAATATGAAATTCGTAAAAATAATCAAGTTATTGCTGATGTCAAGTAAGTTTTATAATTATATTTAAATTGTTTATTTGAATATAAACTATAAATATAGACGTAAAATGAATCTTATTGGTGGTAAAAAATTCAATGTTAAATCAAAAATTGGTGACTTTAAAATTGAAGGCAATTTTCGTTCACGTGAATTTAAAATAAAAAAAGATAAACATCTTGTTGCTACTATTTCAAAGAAATTCTTTGCAATGGGAGATAAATATGGTGTTAAAATTGAACAAGGTCAAGATGTTCCATTCATTTTAGCTTTAGCTATTGTTGTTGATGAAGTAGCTCATGGTTAAATCAATTCAAGTCTTCTATGAACTTTCTTTTCTTTTTTTTTCATATGTAGTGCTAATCTTTTTTTTTCTCTCAAAAATTATAAATAGAAATAATTGAAATTGAGAAACAAATTCGAAATGTTTATTACCAATAGAAATCAATAACCAAAAAGATCAGTTGTATTGGCATGAATATGACCTTTGTTCTTATCATATTTTGCAATGTTTTCGAGTCCATCAAAACAACTAACAATAAATAGATTGTAAATGTAATGGTAATAAATCATGCGGTTTTATCATATAAAGTTCATTTACATTTAATATCAATAAAATTTTACAATATTCTCACATCTTTTATAAGATACAATAATGAATAGAAATTGTATAATATTATATCGCATAAAAATATCTTGTTTCGTAATGACTACATTTGTTTATTAGATTTGAACAAATACTTTTGTACTATAAAATTCCCTTCTCCCAAAAACTAGCTTGAGATTCTCATCTCCCCTTATCCCCCCTCTCCCTCGAAAATAACCATTTCCCATCAAATATCAATAAAATTTCATTTTTTTTCTAGAATATAAATCATTTTTCCATGTCGTGATGTATGTTGAATATGCGAATTAAATATAATATCTTTGACAGAAAACCATTGATCACCATCAAAGATTTCTTTTACTTGATCATAAAGTGTATCAAACATAATTAAATGACTTGGATTTATATCATGTAATCTTTGTTTTAAAGATTCAATTGGATTTAAAAAAAATTTATCAGCTTCATCCATATAATCATTTGTTCTATTATTTAAATTTGGTTCACATGTTAAAAAATTTAATTGAATATCATCTCGATGAATAAAACTATAATATGGTGTTGAATGACATGGCATAAGAAAATCTACGGATAGTATTTGTTGATTTTCATTTGATAAATTATTTCGTATATAATTCATAACAGATATTTGTCCTTGACGATCAATCAATGAAAAATAAATACCAATGAATATATGTCCAATAAATGATAGATAGAAAATCCATCGAAATTTATTCCATTGAAAACGTTTTAAACACCAATTAATTCCATTTGCTTCTAAAATAAATAATATTGGTAAAATTTGTGTTAAAAATCGAAATTCTTTATGAACATTTAATGTATAAATGAATATTGTAAAGAGAACTATTATTGTTAAACGTTTCTCTTGAATTGCACCAAGAAAAAGAAATGGTAAACGATAAAAAAATATCATTGGAAGACCATTTGTTATATACCAAAAGATATTATTTATACCATAATGTGATGAAATTGAATTTGGATGAAAAAAATTGATATATAAAAAATTCAATGGTACAAATGTCCACTGATTATACATATAACTATCTAATAGACTATTGCAAATATTTAATAGAGTAAAACATGTAAATGCTTGAATAAGAAATTGTAAACGTTTGGAAGTTTTATATAATATATATGGATATATAATAACAAATGGAATGGCAGATGTTGGACGAAGAATAAATGATAAAGAAACAAATATATGAAAAGCAATATTTGATCGAGTTGATCGAAAACTAAAAAAAGAAATCAATTGATTTTTTTTTATGAAAAAACATTCAAGCATAACATCAATTTTTTTGCAATTTAAAACAGTAGGAATCAAATCAAAACTGATTCTTTTGATATCTACTACAAAACTATGTCTTTTTTTTCTTAAAATGTTTATTTTACACCCCTCAGGAATCTCATTAAGCTGTAAAACATCGTTAATATTCTTACTTTTTAGCGGCAGTAAGACTACAAATAAAAAGTATTTCTTCTAAATTATTTAATAATAATCTTGGTGATGAATACATTGTATACCAACATGTAAATCGACATAAAAGAGTTAAAAATATTAATTTATGTCCTTGTAGAAATTTTAAATAAGCAATATCACCAATAATTGCTAAACATGTTTGAAATAATGTTGCTGTATTAATTAATATTGGTACTGTATCAAGATGAAATAATGCTAAAAATCGATAGATTAATGATATAATATATGGATAAAGATAACTTCTTATAGCAATATTTGATTTCCATTCCCATGTTTTATAACCATAATCAAATGCAAGTGAATGAGCAATTTCAAATGTTTGCCAATATTCATCAGCAATAAAATATGTACGTACAATAAACCAAGAAATTAAACGAAAAGCTATAATACAAGCTAGAATATTCTGAATTTTATTGAATAACATCTGAAAAATCGAAATTGATTTTAATTATGAATTACATCAGTTTAGAGGAAAATCATTTCTTGTTATTTGGATTGTTTTTCCTATGAACAAGTCTAATGAGACATTGTTCTGTATATTCTCTTCGATAATACGAAGAGAATGTAGAAAGAAATACTTTGATTTCTTGTAAACACACAATTATCTGACAATAAATACAAAGAAAGCAAAATAAATTTATGTTTTAACTGCTCGTAATGGATCAGCATGTATACTTGAAAAATCAATATTTTTCTCAAGTTCTTCATCAATTTCACCTATTAATGCAACATTATCACCACGTATTATATAAAGACCAAGAAGAACTTGTTCTACACCATCTGTTGCAGAAAATACACGTTCATGACTATCATCCAAAATAATATTTATTGCTTGATCAAAACCACGTAATATTCCAATTATAATTCGTCCATCGGATGTAACGATATTTACGGATTTATTTATATATGAATCAAGTACTTGTGCCATTTTTTTCTATTAAGATTATTATTGAAATTGATCGTTCTAAAATTAAACAGAAATTTCGTAAATATTAAAAAGTCTATTCAAGTCATCATCATTATCATTTTCATGAATCGAATGAATGGTTAACGCTTATTTGGTGTAAAATAAGGTTAACCAATAATTATATTTATTTTCAAATACATATCATAAATAACAAATCGAAGAATAAATTTTCAATTTTTGAATTTTAGTTTTACAAGTTTATTAAAATGATGCAATATTTAATTGGCTGAAAGAGGTCACTAGTAAACTACTTGTATTAAACATAGTATATGATGTGAGAAGTAATATAAAATAATTTGTTCAATTTTTATAAAAGATTAAAAATGATAGTAGAAATGGTTTCATGCCTGATTCTCATTTTTACCTGTTGATCTAACTTGAGCTTATCAGCGTAGGTTCACCTATAAGTACTGAAAATGAGGCATTGTTTTAGTAATACCAAACAACGATAATATAAAGTTTTAGTTACAACTACGGATGCCTAATAATTGTAGGAAAACATGAGTAGCTTTAATTTTTTTCTTGTTCATACCTGATCATTTTCTTACCTATAATCTCATGCTAATCGTCAAACTGGGACAATAACAATAACGAAAATCAATACAAAAAAAATAGATCTTTTCTTATAGTTCATTTGTGCGTGTATTCCGATGGTGATATCTCATAATATTTTTACGAACTTCAAAGCACCTCACGAGATCGAAGTCCACTATTTTTTCCTTGAAGATGATACTATGCATATTGATTACTCAGAAAGATTTATCGATCTTTTGTTACATAAGATGTCGAGATTACTTTCGATCAATATACATCTACTCTCCACATTTTTGATGTTGAAACTATTTTGTATAGATATTAGTTTCAACGTAAAAAGTGTCGAATTATTTGAGCTTGTTTTTTCAAATAGATTGTTATCGGTACTGATTGTTTATTATGGGTGTTATTAACCGTTATCTCAGTGATATATAAATGTAAATTGATAATCATCAGTAAATCAAAATAGTCATTTCCCACTAATTTTCAAATTGAAATTATTATGAAATTTGAGATAGATTTACTTTTTTCCATGAATTTAACTTACAAATTAGAAGTGACACCTAATCAATAGAGATATTCAATATCATTAAGTAAAAATCATTAGTAATAGAGAAAAATATATATATATAAATAATGGAGAAGTGTAGTTTTGAGAAATTAATTAATTTCGTTATTTCATTTTTCAAGATATTGAAGCATTTATATTACAAAATAGTTCATTTCTGCGAAACTAACCAATGTGTGGTGAAGAAGAAACGAAGAAATGAACAACATATGGATTATCAAACTTTGCAAATGTCATATTATCGATTGGTAACACCTATAATAATTTATGTATAAATACGAAAGATCATGGTGAACAAAACTACTTCCTTCGATTTAACGAATCATTTAATTCTAATGTTCATTTATTTGTAGTACGATCCCAATGAAAGCGAGAGATCCAACTTTTATCTTTTTGATTTATTGTCGATCTCTCCACTTTTAATGAATCAATGTTCATTTAAACTCTTTGTTTGTAATAAAGAGTTTAAGTCGCCGTTTCCGATGGTCTGATTGATCGTGCTGGGTATTCAGACAAAGAAGATCTGAATAAGGCGTCTGATGAACCGAAGCACGACACAATCATCAAACCGAAGTATTAAAAGGTGGAAGAACTGACGTATGACGAGGTGAAAGAACCGACGTATGACGAGGTGGAAGAACCGACGTATGACGAGGTGGAAGAACCCAAATATGAAAAGGTGGAAGAACCCAAGTACGACACGATCAAAACGAATCAGGGTCACACGGTATGTTTGTTTTCACAATGATTAAATTTGCTTACTATTTTTTTTTATAGGGTACAAGGGGTGATGAAGGACGCACCCCCCCCCCCCCGATCTGGGTGATAGGTGTTCCCCGGGCGCAGGCCATCGTCCGACGAGAGCATGCCAACAGTCGTGATGTCGAAACCGGCGCCCATATAGAGAAGATAGGTACTCGAGTCTTACATAGCTCAAGCGGTGGCGGTAATGAAAAAGATCGGGGTAGTGGTATTGGTAGTCGAAGCGGTCGAGGTGATCAAGGTGCAGGTGTTAATCAAGGTTCAGGTAACGATAGAGGTGGGGATGGAATTGTCGTTGAGCGTTTAACTACAGTTTAGTTGCCCTCCTCCCCCCTCTTTTTTTTTGTAATTGTTTTTTTCTTTTTTTCTATTAATAAAATAAAGAAACTAACATTATCTTTTCTATAAAAGTGATAGTGAAGAAATGACTGGATACTATCAACCATGGATCAAGTCAATTGAAGTTATTTTTATTACATGTAAATGAATAATAAAATAAATAATTTTAGATGAAATATGTCGATTTGTATTTGTTGATCTTAGAAATGAATGTGATATTGAACATTCAAAATTATCAGCTTGTTCCTCATCATTATTTTGTTTACGATAGTTTGCTATATATGTTCGTTTCCAACAATATCTCTCTCATGATGAATTTAAATGTTTTTAATATCGAACAGATTCACATTAGATTAAAATCAAACTTAATCGAATTTATAATATACATTAAACAAGTCAAAGTTTTTACTGGTTATACATCAACTATTTTATTAGAAGATCGAAAAATGAAACTTCATTTAAACGTTAAATTATCTAAATTCATTTCTCAACATTTAAATAATGTAAAAAATAAATAAATCAAATTGGATATTCAATGAGATTTCTTTTTTTTTAATTAAATGTTGATTTGAAAACAGAATGATTGTGATTAATTCGAGATGATGTATTATCATTAACAATAAAATAAATTAAACATCATAGATGGTCGTAGCCTCTTCACTTAAATAGAGCATCAGACATTTCACCAGTTATTCTAATACTAAATATGAACAAAATATATACTATACTTTCCCATAAAACTCTTTCAACATTTCGAACAGAGTGATCTCTACTCTTTTCTAAGAACTGCAAGCAATTCAAAACGATTTCATCAGTAAAATGTTAAAAAACATATTTTTTCAAGTATTTACAGGTTTCTAATAATCGATCAAAATCAAATGTTTTCCTACGTTTTTCTTTTAGATGAATTCTATTGTTCAGTCACAAATAAGTATGTGTTATTTCGCATAACACAACTGTTTCTTCTTTTACATTGACCTTTGACTTCTAATAGGCTAGGCCGAATTAAACTGCATCATTATATGTGGTCAATGTTGTTACATGCTAATATCAAATACATTTCATAATTCACCTACAATTT